TGTCCTTACCCAAGCATAACTGGTCAGTGAAGTCAATGGAGTGTTGTCTGTGTTAGGCTCTTACTGTGGTTACCACATAATTCTCAGCGCTTAGTCTGTTTGTGTGAGCTCTGGTATTTAATGATAATTGTGCAGCAATTTTGCTTTGCCAGCATTTGGGTGATCATGTACTGTTGGTTTCAATCTGTGTGGTTTGAACTCCATCCACACACATTTCATATTCAAAAACCCTTACCATGTCAAAGGGGTGCTCACTTGGTGCAGTGCAAAACTGCAAATTTCACATGATTTTGATTTAAAGACAGAAACTGGCTGAAGTTAACTGTAAAAATGTGTGAGCAAACATTACCTGAGTTTCAAGTGTGGGATGAAACTTGGAAACTGGCAAGTTTGGCATGGTTCACATTTTCATTAAAATATTTCGCACAGCCCATCTAATCAAATCACCATAGGCTGCTACATTGTCCCTGGCCTTCATTTAGGTGCACCAGGTGTAGGGTGCCAGGAGGCTTCCTCCTACCCCCGTCACTCCTGCCTTCCCTGTGCCAGGGCCAACATTACTGTAGTCCTTGTGCACTAGAAACTACAAACTTCTAGTGCCTCTCCGAGTGCGAGTCCAAAGGCGTTGGGGAGTGTTGGGACAAGGTGTGGCCACACTTGCAGAGGTATAAACAAGATATGAACTGGCTCAATAAAAACTATGGACCTAGGACTGCAGGACCATTTGAAATTGTCTAATTAAAAAAAAAAAGAAATATTCCAATCAAACTAGCAACCTTCTTGGAAGTATTGACCTTAGAATTCCAATTCTCTTTCATTCTGGGTCTGATCCTAGACCTTCAAAATCAGTGAGAGCAGGAGCAGGGTTGATATGATCAAAGATGTAACATTAACTTTTGTTTTCTTTTGGGTAGAAAGTACAGACTCTCAAAACGTTAGCAATGTAAATATGCCCCAGAAAAATGAAAGGAAAATAGCATCCATTCGGCTAAGTGCAGCAGTGCCTACAGAGTGTGCAATGGGAATCACTTTTTGCCATGCAATAAATTGATATGTAGTCCCAGAATAAACTTTCAAATTGCACTTGAACCTCCTGCTGGCAATGACCATGTTGCAGAAAAGTGACATAATTTTTAAAACTAGCAACCTGAGAACCCAGTGAAAAAAACTGCACACCAGCCTGCACGCTGATTTAATACGTAGTTTGAAAATAGAAGTAAGATTAATAGAAACTATTTTTTAAATATTAAACAGCCCTGTTTAACTGCAATGAAACCAAGAGTGTCAAATATTTTCTACAAAGGCTTTCCATATGTAAACCAGTAACATGTTATTTCTTCTTGTGCAAGCAATGCAAGATCAGGTCCTTTAGTTTCTAAACATGGTACAGATATATTTTCATGCCATAATAAGAATCATATATGGATTATGGTGTCTCCATAAGTGGTTATAAAAGCCAGAGTCTGTACTTGTGAGTGTCCCTTCTGTCTTGGTGTCCCATATGAAGCAAGATACTACCCAGGGGCACCAAGATGAAAAAAGCAGAAATAACAGATACTTGAATTGAAATAGACACAAGGGGCCAGGTCCTCTGCTGCACCCACCTAGCACAGCAGAGTGAAGGGACTATTAGGACGATAGTTATATGTGCCCCAGCCCCAACACAGGTTAGAGCAGGCTGGGGCTGCTCTAACTTGCACTAATTGCCTATGGCCCCCAGGGTGCCCCACCCATCCCCTTCCCAGGCTTCTTCCTACTCCCTTCTGCTCCTGACATGCCTTAGCCCTCTTGCACCAGGAGTTGTGGAAGGAAGGAAGAAATGCTGGCTACACCTGCTCTGCACCCACTGTCACTTCTTCCTTGCCAGGGGCAATCTCCAGCAGGGGCCTTGTGAGCAGTTTCTTGACTAGTGTAAAGGGAGCAGAATGGGGCAGATTTTCTGCCCCAAGATCTTTCATTTGAGAATTAAACAAATACATAATAGTAAGGGAGCACCCAGTAGGGCTGGGAAATTAGGAGTTCTGGCTTTGGCATTGATCGCTGGTTGACTGAGGGAAAGCCCCTTCAACTCCCTGTGCTTCAAATTTCTCTAAATTTCTCTAAAATGAGGATAATAATACTTACTGACCTATGGCATAGGCACATTGTGAGGAATCATTAATGTTTGTAAAGTGCTTTGAGATCTTTGTATGAAAGTGTCTGCATTGATGCAAAGTATGTTGTTATATGGGGGGGGGACCTCAGAGGTTTTTCCTCACTATTACTCTATTCCTTTCTTCAGCCAAAGCCTATTTTTCCATATTTATAAAAATAATGTATCATCTTTTTATATATGTTCCATTCTATATGCATCCGAAGAAGTGGGTTGTAGCCCACGACAGCTTATGCTCTAATACATTTGTTAG